TCCCCCCGAGTGTTACATATCAGAGCAATGACACCGACTCGATCTATTGAAGGTATACAGCCTTCACTCTCGATTACCTGCACGTTACCAACATAAGGGCAACATTCAAACAGAAGGGGTGAGATATCTAACGATATAATAAAGCGCATGATAATTAATATATTAAATTAGATCAATAATATCACCACTTCTCATCTCATAATCAACAACAATTACAGCATATATACTCATTCATCAACATCAAATACATCTCATTATTCATTCATATGATGCGACTCAAAACTATGCAAATGCATGTGGTACCATTGGAGCAAAACTCCCATCTCAAAAATCTAATTTGCCAATTAATAGAGGCATCAACAAGGCATAGCCTTCATCTCAAAATTTGCCAACCCAGGCCATCTCAACGAGCATAAGCTCCGTCTCAAAAAAAATGCAATGTATACGACTCAACATGAATGTAATAACACACTCAGTTAATAACATCTCAAAACACATCTCAAAACAACAACATCTCAATCATCTCAAAACGACAACATCTCGGTCATTTCAAACAACAACATCTCAATCATCTCGGAACAACAACATCTCAATCATCTCAAAACACAACATCTCATAAACATCTCAGAACAACAACATCTTATAAACATCTCATAACAACAACATCTCATAAACATCTCAGAACAACAACATCTCAATCATCTCAAAATAACAACATCTCAAAACATCTCAATTACAGCATCTCATAAACATCTCAAAATAATTTATTAAACATCATTTATTTATCAAACGTCATTGGTTCATCATAATTATCAAACACAACTTTAATAACCACATCTCACTATTAACTCAGTTGTATATTAATACTACAGTAATCCCTGCTGTTATTCTGCTACTGTACATCATCATTGTCACTAAATCCCACTGTCATAATTCTAATAGCAGCCTCTAACATCTCAAAATTCATCATTCTGTCCAAAATCCAGCATAACGGTCATCTACGGGAATTAATCCTAAATCCTAAATTAGTTACTGGGATTACACTTCTTATCCATCATTTTAATCCTCTAGAATAGAGTTCATCGGGTTAGCAAATCAACGCTTCGAACGGCATCTCAAACAGCATCCTACAACTCAAGTTGCAGCAATTAAAAAAACTGATTCTGTCAAAATTATTCAGTATGGGTCGACACAAAACTCCTTCGATCGACTCATCCTGCTTCATATGTATACTATGAGTCGACACATCCTCCTTATGGATCGACTCATTATGGCTTTCAATACAGCATGTATCGACACATGCACTCTTCGTGTCGACTCATCCTGAGTCTTGTACTCATCATGTATCGACGCAAACCCTCCATGCATCGACTCATCCTGAGTCGAACATCATTCATGTATCGACACATGCCCTGCATGCATCGACTCATCCTGAGTCGAATGTCCTTCATGTATCGACACATGCAGCTTGGGGTCGACACATCCTTCGACAGTCTGCATAATTTTCTACATTTTCTAATGTATTTTGCTACGGGAATCATACTACAGCCCTAAAAACCTTATTATGATCATGATAATTCATCACCTAATATTACACTCTATTACTCCATTGATCAAACAACATGATAACATTCTTATTCATCAAAAATTCATCAAATCTTCATCATACATCATTCATAATACAATTTATGCAAGAACAAACAACAATTACATCTAACCCCATATATCAAACATCATGGACCCAATTATAAAGCCAGAACCCCACCCTTACCTTGGATCGAAGGTCGCTCTACAATTTCCGGGTTGAATCTTCGTTCTTGCCGTTTTCCACTTTTTCCAGCAACTTCGCGTTCTTCACAATCCTTATTTCTTCTTACTGCTTCCTCCTTCTATTCTTCTCACAAAGAATAAAATAACTTAATATTATTATATTATTCCTTATTAGGCTCAAAACCTACACACCCTTAATACTTATACTCACACAATAAAGGCCCACATTAAATAATATTAGCTTCTAACATTATTTCACCACATAATAATATAATACCTCTAATATATTATTATTTCTCCGCTTAATAAAATAAATCCAATTTAATAACACTTCTTCACAAATATTATAAAAATAATTTAATTAAATAATTAATTAAATTACGGGCGTTACACATGATACGCAACAATGTCACGTATAATCTCGACCACAACTAGTCAATTACATCATCATTCATATAATCATATTGACATAGCATTTATACACATTAAGTATGCACATCATTAAACTTTACTCATCACACTATCAACAAATACCAACACCATGGTAACATCATTAGAATATATCAAGTTATGGCATTTCAACAAGACATCATAGTAAACTAACATATAATATTCCAAACTCATGAATATATAAACACATGAATAATACACAAAATTCTTCATACGACTCTGTCATAAGATAGTTTTGTGCGTCAACTTCCCAACACTTTAAACGGCGCATCAAACAGAGTTATGAATCTCAAGTTACGACACTTTGAAGTTTTACTGCCATACTGCTCCTCTAAACCTCTTCTGACGACCCTGTGAGCGCTCTGCTCGTCTCCCTCCTGCCTGATGCTCATTCGGAGAACTGTGCGATTGGTTCCATCATTACTTCGCTCTCCCGATGAAGCTCTGGCGATGATCCTCTCCCAAACATTTTCCAGGAGTCTTCCTTTTCCACCATTCCCCTTGCCAACTGGCTCGCCCGGCGACGCTGGGGCGACTCACTCGCCCGGCTACTCTAGCAAATCATTAACTTCTCAATTGTGATCTCGCTTCTGTCCAGACCATACCAATTATGATTCCAGACATCATACTCAGCCCAAAACACATTTTAATCACCATACATCACATATTAACATCAAAGCACATTATTATATCATTATGGACATAAATCATAATATACAAACATCATCATACAATTTCATCATAGTATTCATCATGTTTTTCATCAAATCATAATACAAAGCAAAAACTTGCATCTATCTTAATCCCTTGTCAAACAGAATAAACCAAGATTACACATCTTACCTCAAATTTCTAGCGATTTGATTCCCTTCCTTCGCATTCTACGGAGTTCTCCTCTTAGTTCTCTGTAAGCCCTAACCTCTCTTTATGTTCTCCCAAAATTTCACGATCGTCCAGAATGATTCTTATTTCTCTAATTTTCTCTTAATTCATATGCACTTACCAATATGTCTTTATTCTCCTTTTCACCTTAATATTCTATTTTATCATTACTATAACTCTAAATATTATAAATTAAAATATTTAAATCTAAATAATTTTAATTATCGTCTATCTCTCACTAATGCTCCATCAGATATTGTCATCCATCACACAGATAATCACAAATAATTAATCAAATAAGTAATTTTAAATTTTAGAGTATTATAACTTTTGACTTATCATCCTGTAAAAAAAAATTGTAAACCAAGTTTGTCAAATGAAGATTTTGTCGCTTTAAACTTCGGCCTCAAGATAAAATATTATAATCCTTAATAATCCTTAATAATTCTTAATAATCCTTAATAATTCCAAATAATCCTTAATAAATTATTTTGGTTTGCCTCAAGATATCTAATAATCCTAAATAATTTAATATTATATTTACTAATAATTAATAATGTTATATTATTCAACGAATATTTTATATTTTATTTAATATTTTCTCATTCAATCTTAAATTTTTTAATTGATTTTTTGTAACATTGAATATTTATTTGACATATTAATAATAAAGTAGTATGAAATAAATATACATATTATAGTTTCAAAAATTTAAAAGTTTCAGTTTATTCTAAAAAAAAATAATTTTACTATTTTATTATAAATTTATTATTTGACACATTAAAATTATAATGTAAACTAAAATTTGATATATATTGTTAATATTTGTTTAATATTTGATACATATATATTAAAAGTTTAATATTTGATACATATGAATTTTATTTTTATTTGAAAATAATCTTTTAGTAAAAAATTAAATTATTTTTTATTAATAAACTGAAACTTTTTAATAATAAATAGCAAAACATAATATTATTAAATATATAATAGTTTTTAAATAATATTATTAAATATAAAATAATTTTAAAAAATATAAGATGTCCTAGTGGTAGGTGCCTATTATTAAATACAAAATAGTTTAAACAAAAAAAATATATGGCAAACTATTATGTAATGCATGTCACATTCAAAAAGATGGCTCAAGTGGTAGGTGCCATGCATGGGACATGGAGGGAGTGATCTCAACACCAGTCTTTAAATTTTCAAATTTTAAAATAATAATAAATAAAATGTCAACGTGATAATTAAAATAATTTAAAATAAATATATTAAAGCCATGTCAACATATTTAAAAAAACATATACAATCAACGGGCCATATAAGCAAATGGTATATAAAATAACAAAAAAATTATTTGGTAAGATTAATTTTAAAATAAAAAAAAAATTACAGGAGATCAGAAGTCACCTATATAGTATGGATAAAAATGGTATTAATCCAGTTTCTATTTATCTTTAGGTTGAAATCTAAATTAATAATAAAAGACTTCTTATTTTCTTAAAAAGACCATAAAATTAATTTTAAAAAACATTGACCTAACACAATACAAATAATCAGTCATCTATAAAGGCAAGGAATGCAAAGTTAGATTTTTGTGCTTGTCCTAGTCAATCAATTTTTTGTTTGTTTGTTTGTCTACTTTTACTTGACTATGTTTTTCTAAATCAAATTATATAGACACTGTTTTCTATGATCGTGTAGTAGGGACATTGATAACCGTCCGATCTTAATATAATGGTTTTGAAATATGCATATTTAGTTTCTATCTGCACATGACTGCATTGACATTAAATCCATGGCTATGGTTTTTTTGCCACAAACTCTTACATTGGATCAAAATATCTAGATATTTAAGACCACCATACTATTATTAGTTTTGATTTGCATTCTTAACAATGGAGATGAAAACAACTACTACAAATCTAGAGGATGAAACCATTAAAACACTCTACAATGCATCCTTAAACGGTTCTGTAACTACCTTAAACACACTCATCCAAAACAACCCTCTTATACTCCACAAAGTTTCACTCTCTCTATATAACGAAACTCCATTACACATTTCCTCTCTTCTTGGTCACTTACAATTTTGTGAAATTCTTCTGCAAAACAAACCAAGTTTCGCCAATGAAGTTGACTCAAAAGGACGGTGTCCTCTTCATCTAGCTTCAGCTGAAGGACACACCGAAGTCGTGAAAGCTCTTTTGTTAGCAAACCAGGATGTTTGTTTGGTTTTTGACAAAGATGACATGATTCCTTTGCACTTTGCTGTTATAAGAGGACGGATGGGAGTAATTAAGGAGTTGATTAATGCTAGACCGGATTCTGTTCGAGTTTTGAATGACGATGGTTCTGTTTTGCACTTGTGTGTTTTGTATAATCATTTGGAGTCATTGAAGTTGTTATTGGAATCAGTTAGAGTAGATAAACAGCTGTTGCTTGCCAAAGACAGAGAGGGCAATACAGTTCTGCACTTGGCAATTAAGCTCAAACAAATTAAGGTACTACGTATATTTAGTTACACCTTTAATTTTCCAGATTTTGATTTTCATTATCCGATTTAGATTTAGCTCGATACAATTTTAATTCCTGAATTCTTCTTACTGTTACACTTAAGTTCTGGTTTGGCATGTGTTATGTTATTGTTTGGTTTTTCAATAACTTTGTTACTTTGTTTGCAGAACATAAAATACTTACTTCTACAGCCTGAATTAAGAACATCAGCAATCACTTTGAACAGGTCAAGTATCAAAACTTTGGAGCTGTTAGAGTCCTGCCCAAGAGATTTTATTAGCCTTAAAATTGAAGAAATGTTAACTGAAGTCGGGGTTCAAAGATCTACACAAATGGATTATGCACCGCATATGGATTCTGCAGTGCAACATGCACCATTACCAATCATATCCAATCAAGAACAACCAAGTCAATTTAATCAAGAACTTCCAAATGGAAGAAGGAAAATGTGGGAAAACTTGTGGTCCAAGTATCTACAATTCCAAGGTAATTGGATAGAAGAAACAAGGGGAACATTGATGTTGGTGGCCACTGTTATTGCAACAATGACTTTTCAATCAACAATAAGTCCACCCGGTGGAGTTTGGCAAGAAAATACACATACCGGTGGACGTAACTGCACTACTTATGGTATATGTGAAGCAGGCACTGCAGTTTTAGCTTATGCATGGCCACATGAATTCATTAAGTTCATGACATACAACACTACTTCTTTCTTTTCCTCTCTTGGTGTTGTGCTGCTACTTATTAGTGGATTCCCCCTTAAGAATAAGGTCATGATGTGGGTCTTGACCATGGCTATGAGCGTCGCGGTCACATTCATGGCACTCACATTCGTGTTTGCGCAGAGTTTGGTCACTCCTTATCATATTATTCAACAAGATTTCAGCATGGCTTACCCTGTTGTTGTTGCTTGGGGTATATTGCTTTTAGTTATTGGTTTGATTCACACACTCAGGTTGGTTTTCTGGGTAAAAGTGAGGACAAAAAAGAAAATGCAATAGTCAAGTGCATTTCCGAAAATTACAGTTGTTTAGTCTTGTGAATTTGAATGCCAGGGCAATTCAAACACTTTTATTAGTTGAAATTCTAGAGATACACAGATGAACCAATGAAACTTATGTGTAAAATAGAGTTTGAAAGGTGTTTCTGGCTCTCTTATCCTCTAGGTCTTATAGAGAATTTATCATGTACACGTCTTCCATTAATATGCCTACAATATTTAAGCTTGATTATTTAGGTATTGATTTTTTTATGGCCCTGTTATTATCTTTCAATCCAAGAAACCACCAATGTTAGTAACAAGCAGTATATAAACAGTTTCATTTGCACCATGACCTAAGAACCAGGCAAAGTTAGGTGGTGCAATGTGCAAATTTTCATGAGCAGCAGCATATGAATGAACTAAATTCAAGAGCAGCAGCATATGAATGAACTAAATTCAAGAGCAGCAGCATAAAGACCTCAATCATAATAGGATATGAAACAAATTCCAAATTTGGCAAAATTTGAAAGAAAAAATGTGGAACTAAATCGAATCATAGTTTACATTTAATTCCCCCACAACCGACTTTACCTGATCATAGTTTGCATATGGATAAACTTCAACTTCATAATACAGAGGAATTGCCAATATTTTGAAAAAGTGTAACATAGAAGACCAAATTAAAAAGAAAGAAGGCTGGGGATAATAGATGATGATATTTCACATATATAGTCCTTCTGGCACTCCTTCTTTCTTCTTAAACATCACTTTATCCTTAGCCTTCTTAAAATCGGGATGAGTCACCTGAACAAGATATAAAAGTAATAGTAAGATATCATAAATTGGAGGAACAAACTTAAAATAAAGTGTACAAACAAAAAGATAATACAGACAAATGCTTGTGAAAAAAACAGAAGATTGATAGGTAAAGATTGGAGCTGATTCTAATGAAATAAAAAACTGGACCTAAATACACACTCAAGTTAACAATGAAATGCAACTATATGGTTCGAAAAAAGTTAGGGGACTAGGGTGTGTATGTTGTCTCATTCTAAATAGGACCGAGCAAGCCTAATACTTCAGATAACCTATCAAATAGGACCACTCACTGGAACCAAACCACCACTTGTTATGCTGACACTGGAGTCCTCCCAGTTGGGCCAACACTTGTGAGGAAAGTATGAAGCTTGGTGCTTTAAAGAGGCACCAAAGGAGGATTTTCCACGATTTATTTTTAAATAAAAATAACTTGCTGAATTGATTTAATCAGTGTCTGCTACTTTTGCTAGCATATATTTCTCCTGCACTAATATTAAAAGATGAAATCAACAGATTTCTTTCCCTAAAACACTGAGTAGGAACTCTGATATCATGTTGCGGTTGTTTGAAGTGGAAGGAGGGGTGGAAAAAACAACAAAATTTGATTTCTTTGTTTTTATAAAATGTCTTGTTTTCTTTTAGTATTAAGGTGTTAAGGATGTTGTGCAAATTTTTTTGGTTTGTTAATATGACTAACTATTTAATACATCACACAACCCAATATACTGTATATAATTATGAAACTAGGTCAGCATTCTTAATATTTTCTTAACTCAATTCCTAGAGACATAGTCAAGGATATGTTATTTTCCAGCTCCTCCACAACTTTTCTCGCATCATAACCCTACCTTGCCCTTTGATGGTGTAGGAGATTACGAAACCTTGGAATGTTTTAACTAATGTCTGCTAGTTTTATGTTATCATAATATATTTGGGTCGTCTTAAAATGAGAATTTCAAAATTAGCAACTTAATGGTGACAAACAGCATTATTATGTTGTATAAACAATAGAAACATGAATAAATTTCAAACCTTCATTCGGCGTTCCCGTAGAGCAAGTAAGCCAGCCTCAGTACATATTGCCTTTATATCAGCTCCAGAGAACTCATCCTTGGTCATAACAAATTCTTCCAAGTTGACATCATCAGCTAATGTCATCCTTGATGTGTGTATCTTAATTTCAAAGCATAAAGTCATTCAGTCGCATGAACAAACAGAATATGCATATTTACAATATCACATGGAATCAACAGAAACAGCATTAGAATTCACAAAACTAGTTATCTCTACCTGGAAAATGCGTCTCCTTGTTTTGATATCAGGAAGAGGAAATTCAATCTTCCTGTCAATACGACCAGGTCGTAGCAAAGCTGGATCAAGACTTTCAATTCTGTTGGTAGCCAGAATCACTTTTACATCTCCTCTCGAATCAAAACCATCTAGCTGGTTCAGCAACTCTAACATAGTCCTTTGAATTTCACGTTCTCCACCTGAGTGAGCATCATACCTGTAAGTCATATTAACAATTAAGCTCGTGAATGCAAGGGAAAAAATCTCAAAGAGTCCGTGAAGTGATACAATGCATCACTAGTGGGGGTTCAATAGCTTACCTCTTTGTACCAACTGCATCAATTTCATCAATGAAAACAATAGAAGGAGAAAGATCGTCAGCAACTCTGAAAAGTTCCCTCACGAGTTTTGGACCATCTCCCAAGTATTTTTGTATCAATTCACTACCAACTACACGCAAGAATGTTGCTGATGTTGAGTTTGCCACAGCCTGAAGGCATGAGAGACATGAATTAGACTTAACTGATAAAAAATATAATAGTGCATTAAGGAATTCAACCCCCCTCCCCATATACACAAAGAGAGACTTTCATGTTAACATCAAAAACCATGTCCTTTTGCACACAGATTATTGTAAAGCTAAAACTGAACATTTTAATGTCCCTTTCTCACAAAAATTCCTTCCAGTAACAATAAGCAATATACAAATAGCAAATATAATCCCCGAGATTGAACATTATAAAAAATGCTGACACAGCCATTGCCAAACAGTACACATTTGATAATCACAGAAATCCATTTTGTTCATCTCCATTAGAGAAAAACATTCTAAATTCCACAGCAATAATTCATCACTAAACAAGTTAAGCAAAGTGAAAAAGTTCCCACCTTCGCAAGCAAGGTCTTTCCTGTTCCAGGTTCTCCATATAATATAACCCCCTTCGGAGGCTTGATACCAATATCTTCATATAGTTCAGGATGCGTTAGTGGTAGCTCAACTGCCTCTTTAATTTCCTGTATCTGCGCATCTAAACCACCGATATCAGCATAAGATTCTAAAGGAGCCTTCTCAACCTTCATCACAGAAACCATCGGATCAACTTCATCTTGAAGTAGGCCAACAACTGAAAGAACCTGATAGAAGAAAACCAATCATAATCATTACATCATCTAAAATCAAAGTGTACAAACAATAACAAATTCCTAATTCTATGAAGAATAAAAATTCAACCTAGTTCAAAATTCAAATCCTCTAAACCCTAAACAATGATTCAACAACAATACCTTATTATGCATCAAAATAGCACAACCAGGTTCTAACTGATCCTTATCAACAAAAGACAAAATTCCAACATAATACTCGGGTCCAACCGAAGACGAAACAATAGCATGATTCTCATCGATAAGCTCTTCCAGGTTCCCAACACTCATCGGCGAACCTCGAAGATCATCAACCTTAGATCTATCTTCCTCCGCTTTTTCTTCCTGTGGTTTCAACCGCTCTTGATAAGCAACAAACTCCTCCTCCATTAACAAGTAATCCTTGACTCGCTCAAGCTTTAACAGCCTCAGTTTGCACTTCGACACCGGAGTCACTGTCGGTAAACGAGATGCTGCATCTGGACCCTTCTGTTTCCGTTGCTTACGGCCGACACGTGCCGGCGGAGCTGCCGGCTCGAACTTCTTCTCCTTTTTGTCGCTGCCGTCTTGTTTCCGGTCACCTGGGTGGCCTTGACGGTTCATCCCGCCGGGAGTTCCTTGACCCATCGTCGATTTAGAAATTGAACGAGGTGAAGTTTTTCGCACGCTTAAGGGTTCGGAGATGGAACCTTTTGCACACTTCCTAGTAACCCCACTCTTGTTTTTTAAGTAAATAAAATTACTTCTTTAAAAAGTTTCCTTACAAATTTTATTTCTTTTAATTTTTAAAATAAACTAATTTCACATGAATATTTGTTTTTATAACTAATCAATTTTTCCCATAATAAATCAAAAGAGTTTGTAAGAAAAAACTATTTCAAAATTGTTTATGATATTATATTGTTCTTTATTATGAAACTACTAACATAATGTTGTTCATGTTGTATTTTATTTATTATAATTTGTTGTTTCTTCCATTTTTTATTATGAATCGATTTTTACTTTTCACATATAATAAGAAATATAATCATTATTATTAAAAAAAGATAAATCATAAAAAAATAATAAAATTATTTTTTATGAATAATATGAAAAAAATTAATTTTAAAAAATTAAAAGAAAAAATATAATAAATAATTAAGAATACAATAAAAAATTATTCATTAATATTGTAAATCGATTTATTAATAGTTTATAATTTTTTTTGTAAAATGACTTATGATAAAATAAAAAAAATATTATTTTTTAAACTTTTTTTAAAAATAGATAAAATATATATTTTCGTTCATTAACTATATTTTAGATTCAGATTAGTCTTTTAATTTTTTTTGTTTTATTTCGATTTTTTAACTTTAAAAATATTTTTATTTTAGTTTTTTTTATTTAATTAACGATAGAAATTTTTTAAAATTAATCAATAAATCTATCACTAATTAAAAGAAAAAAATTAAAATAAAATATTTTGAAAATTAATAGACTAATATGACACACACAAAATTAAGAGATTAATATAAATCCAAAAAAATAATTAAAAAATCAAAATAAATTTGTCTTAAAAATATCATATCATATTCCAAAATATAAACAGAACCTTCTAAAAGAAATTTCTTTAAAATTCTAAAAAAACCAACTCTTAAATATACCATAAATCTAGTCAAGCAAAAACAACTAACCAAACAATTAATTCATGTCAATCAGGTCAGGATTTTAGACAATCCAGTGTGAAAGGATCGTTTCCTTGGCCATACTAACGATATTTACTAAGATAAAAGTCTGTGAGCACGGTCTCTTTTTGCTATATTTCAATACTAAATTTTTCTACAAGAATCACAAACCTGTAATTTTCAAAGCCAAGAGATTATAAGGAGAGAAAAAATTGGATGCAAAATGATTATGTGTTCAAGGTGGTGCAAGATACATGGCATAAGAATGTATGGGATCACGAATCTAAGTTGGAAGGGGTCCTTAACACTGCCATGATTGAGGAATTCATAATTTTGGTAACATTTCTAAAATAACATATGTGATTGAGCCGAGAATGTTGACTCTTGAGGAAAAAAAATTATTTCTAGCGACTCAACGAGAAATCATATCAAAGATCTAAGATGCAAAAAATAGGGATTGAACAGGATAACTTTTTTTACACTATTTGATGTATAAACTATTCATGGGATTGAACAAAATATATGACAAGAAGCACGATAAGTATTTGAATTTTTATTTTTCATTGAATCAAGAGATGACTTTTTATCTTAAGCACATATTATAAAAAAACATCAAAATATAATTTTTGATCTCCCTCTATTTAGTATTTTGATTCATAAATATAATTCTCATTATTTGATATTTTGTTTCATAAATATAATATTAATATTTGTATACATCAATAAAGTAAAAGTTATATTATTTGTGTATAGTGT